ACGGTAAAAAATTCAAGCGTTGATGCACGGGAGTTGCGTATCAGTAGACGTGAAGGGAATGAATGCGCTGAGAAGCACAAAGGGCACACTTAGCACCCCATTTTGGCGCCAAAACTTTCGAACGGGTGCCGCTAAATTACATAGTGTTAAATTGAATGCGCAACTAATTTTTGAATGCGCCCGCTGGGATAGTACTGGGATAAAGTTAAAATAACCACTTAGCCATTATCTTTTTGCTTCTTGCCGGAAGACAGTATTGTTTTCTTGTGTTGATGGTGGGTACCTTAGTTGCTGTTGTTGCGACAGAGTCACCGGGAATGTTGTTGGAGATAAGTTCCTGGAACTATATATTGCGTGTAATACCAGTCAAAAATTCTGTCATTGTTTTTTTCCCTGTCATTATATTTGAGTTTTTTTAGAACCAGCAAAACCCTGTTTTTCGACGGCTTTGCTGGTTAAACTATTTATAAAAAACTTATGGTAAATTTGCGTTTTTTGAAAAATTGAAAGTTTTTCATGGCTATAAAGAACGAGTTATTAGTCACGCGAAAAAAATATTGTTGGAAGTTTTTATCAATTAAGCAAAATTTCAAGAAATTTTTGATCATAGTTATGAAGCAATATGATTTAACCTCTCATCAGATTAGCCATTTGCTGAGGGATGTCATATTTATTGTTTGTCGATCAAAGTAGCCGTTGCTGAATTGAGTGACTTTGAAATTCAAACGAAAGAATAAAACAATTTCAAAATAAATTCTTCTGTTAAATACAACTTTGCCCTCATTATGTATTTTAAAATTTAGTTCTGTTTGTAAGGCAGCCAATTTTTATTGTCTTGAAATAGTAAAGTTTGTTGGAGAATTTAGGTTAAAAAAAAAACGAAACAATAACGGCGACTACTCTTGAACGTGGTATATTTATATAGCGTAATTCAGTGACCTGTTTTTTTGACTGGCAGAGATGGCTAGCAGTAGCGGTAACCGTGAAAACGACTTTGATGACATATTTGGTGTTGCGGAACTCCTTGATGAAGAACCGCCCGCAGCACAACGTTGTAGGTCTTAATATATATCTATATC